CTCCACAGTCAGAACAGACATTTGGACTGAGAGGACTGGGCCTCGGGGCTGTGGCGGGGCAGCAGCTGTCCCAGCAGGCGGAAATATTCCGTTTCATCATCGGATGGCTGCTGTGTCTGGCTTGGGGCTGGGTGTGTGCAGTGGCATTCAGGGAGCCAGGGACTCGGGAGGGGAGAGGGTTGGGGAGCATCCTGGAGGTTCTGATTGAATGGACACGGGAGGACTTCCAGGAAGCTCCGTCCAGGTGGCTGGGGTGGGTGTGGGTAATGAGGCTGCGTAACCCTAATGCAGTGGGCAGTGGAGCCGTCTGTGGTGGGGATGGAGAAGGGTGTGTGGAGGGGACGTGGGCATGGGGGTGTGTCTCCTCACATGTGTGCTCCAAGAACTGCACAGACAGGCACGTTTCCTCAAGGTGAAGCTGTGTGGTCACTGCTTTGGGTCCCCAGGGACACAGTGTTACCTCTGTCAGGACTGTGCACAGAAGTTGGCAACAAATCTTACTTCCAGGACTTGAGTGTGTTCCGATGCTTCTGGCATCTCAGCACATCTGTCCCATGTCCCCATGCTGCTAGGACAGAGACACACAATCAGAGGACCTGGGTTTGGGTGGCCATTTGCGTGGCCAGGAAGTGACTTTCCCTTCAGGGTCTCACTTGTATCGTCTATAAAGCAGGTGTTTACCTGTTTTACCTTCAGGGCTTGTCCCAGCTACGCCCTCCTGGGAACATGTAACCAGGGCAAAGTCCTGTAACAGGTACCATGTTGAGCACCTGGGGGCAGAGCAGACTCTGTGTCACAGGCTCAAGTCCCCACCCAGCCTTCCCCAGACAGGGTGACTGAGTGTTCATGAAATGACTCTTCCTTCTGCCCAAATCTCTCCCTGCCCTCTCCTCAAGTTGGCTTTTCTGCTATCTCTGGAGCTGGAGCAGGAGGGACCTCTCAGGAGAGGCCCAGCTCCAGCCAGCTGCTCAGTGGCCAGACCAGAGCTTTTATTAACATTACTCACCAGTCTTTTCCCTGCTTTAGGACACTGGGGGCTTCCTACCTCCTACGGAGCCAAACCTGACACCACTGCCCTCTCTTTAGGCCTCCAGGAATCTAGTCCACAGCTCTCCTGCAAGCACTCAGGACGGTCCTTCCCCAGAGGCCTTGCCCCAGCTGGGGTGTCCTCAGCACCCCACTCTTAGGTATGTTCATGTTTCAGACCTGAAGTCTGGGGTCTTGGTCCAGAGGCTCCTCTGAAACCCCCTTCCCCACACTGTCCTGGCTAGTTAGTGTTGGTACTACACCCCAGGGTCTTAAATTACTGCCCATGTGAGTATGCACACGTGCATATGCATACATATGTGTGCATGTGTGGTGTCAGCTTTGTCCCTCCTGAGCCCCAAGTGCAGGTCCCGTGTGTCGCCCAGCACTGATAGGCAGAGGCTACCTGAGGAGGGATGCTGTACGGCCCCGCATGGCTCTGTGTGGCCCATGTGGCTCTGTGTGGACCCACGTGGCTCTGTGTGGCCCATGTGGCTCTGTGTGGACCCACGTGGCTCTGTGGAGGAGCCAGTTCTCAGCCATGCTCATTGTTCCAGGAGAGGGAGCGGCCGTGCTGGCACTTTGAGAGATTGTCTGTGTTTTCATGGAAGAACTAGTTATGCCTAATATGCTTTGTTAATGGTTATGTAGCTGTCAAGTAAATCCCATTATTTCTTATTACATCATTAGAGACCATTAAAACGGCATTAGCATGCTGATGTAATTATGCCAGCAGACGCACAACGACCGCAGTTATGACTTTATAATCTAATCACGGCTGTCCGCCCGGCTGATGGATGTGGGGCTGCTCCGAGCGCTCCATCGGGTGGGTGGCGCCACGGGACCTGCTCCTGAGCAAGGTGGGGATCAAGTTGCCGCTGCTGCTAACAACCTCTGCTGAGCCCCAATCGGCCCAGGACCTGGCTCAGCTGAGGGCAGCCGGACAGCCTGATTCTGTGATCGATCTTCCGTGTCCTCCCGATGCACGAAGCAGTTTTGTTTCCGCCTGTGTGTGGTTCACCGAATTGATGAGAAGACAGTGCTCACAGTGCTCTTGTTTTCCAGGACAGCTGCTGAAGGTGCAGCGGTGGGAATTCACAGCCCTGACACTCGTTAGTTCTCCATGCCCAGGGCGGGGCTGCCCGAGCTTAGCTCCATCCCTAACAGTCTCAGCAGCCCTGAGGTCCCCCCATCCCTTCCCCTGGTGCCCAGCCCCTCGCCCACTCCCACACCTCCCTCCACCTGTGAGAGGATCCCTGGGAGCTTGGCAGTTTCCAGAAAGTGTGCTTTAGTCTCCTGGCGCAGAATTGTGGTCATCGGCCTCCTCCTGTCGCCCTGATTTATGAAGACATTTAACATGAAGCAGAAGTAGGAAGAAGGCTCAGAGTGGCCGTTAGCCCACTGGGTGTCTTCAGAGAGGACTTGGGCACCAGAGGGAGACTTCAACTTAGGGAATGGGGTTTAGGTGGGAAGGGCCCTGAAAGTACCTGTGAACCTGAAGTCCTGTGGCTGGGACGTTAGCGGATGAGGGTGCTCCCGACAGCCAGGAACCCCCCGATTTGGGAGATGCAGCCTTCGGCTGTCACCCTGAGCATGAGGCCCTGGAGGCAAGGTTGCACTGCCCTGAGAGCCCACTATCCACTCCAGAAGTTTTGAATGATCTGTAAAATAACCTGCAATTTAAATGCTAAATGTCAGGTGCTTAGAAGATCTTGGAGAGACAGAGGTGCTGCTGTTGTCAGAGGGCTTGTGGGGAAGTCAGGCCGAGTGGGGCTTTGGGAGGGGGGGCAGGTGTAATGTCACCGTGGGGAGGAACTGAGGTGGAAGTACCATCATTCCAGGGCCAGAAGAGCTTCCGGTGGGAGTAGAGGGTCAGGGCTTGGCTGGGTCACTTCAGATGCAGGACCTGCAGATGTGACAGGGACATTAACCTCGACGTGAGCAGAGCGAGGGACTTTCCTGCAGAGGGTATTTGAGGAGGTCAGTCTGTGAAAAGCTGTTGTCTGTGGGTGGGGTCAGCTGCCTTTGAGACCAACCCTGAAATCCTGCTCCATTCTGAGAGTTCTGTGCATGTAACATACATTTCTGAAGTATACGAGGTCTTCAGACAAGTCAAATTGTTAAAATAAGTGATGTGTTTTTCAAAATCATGTTCAATATAGTGTTTAAAAGCTTTGGAAATTTTGGATAATTCCTGTCTGCCAATTCCCTGCCAGTTATTTTTATAGTGAATGTTTCTTAACGACTTTGATAAGTTTTTTAAACGGTTGCTGTCAAAGATTTTTAAAATACTCGTCTCTTTCCTTTCTGCTTTCGATTCCTTCTGCTCCCTTGAGAACCAAACACTAAAATCTGTTTCCATAACATTTTTTTCGATCGCAAGAGTATCTACTTGTTATTGTTGGGCTGTTGGGGCTGAATTTTTTATAAGAGCACCGCTGTGTGTGTTAGAGAGCAGAGGCTGTCAGCAGAATCCCTGGGAAATGGAAACAAAGTCAGTGTCAAGAACACGCTCACACACGGTGGCCCTGGTGTAGGTGTGTAGGCCATGGAGACCTGGCGAGGTCACGCGTGGGGAGCAGTGGCCCTGGGTGCACGTGTCTGTGAGAGTGTCATGCTGTCCTGCGTTATCAGAGGTGGCACTGACCCTTTTCTGAATGGTCTCTTCCAGTGTCCTGGGACCAGCAGTGACCTTCAGAGTGGGCGCCAACATCCAGAATGTGACGACCGCGGATGTGGCGAAGGCAGCAGGTAAGGTTCTTTCAACATAACTACACATGTGCGCACACGTGCACTCGCGTGCACCCCAGGCAGAGGGTTTAAAGTACAGTTTCCTGGGCACCCTGATACTTATGGGAAGATGGTGAGGTGATAGCACATCAGTTAACATGACTTCAGGTGGACGGTGGTCACAGTGCTCTGAGGCACTGGGGTACAAAGGCCCGTGTGTGGGAGGTGGTGGCGTGTGGATGGAGCGGGTGCGGTTTTGCTCCTGGTTTCCTGTTTCATACCTGCCCACAAGCTCCAGGCGCATGTCTGTCACCCACATAGAGGTAACATGAGGAGCTTTCAGCAGAAACAAGCGACTCAGTCATAGCTTCCCAGTCAGAACCCAGCCCTATCAGTCCCCCTCACTCAGCCGGGACCTGCAGGGTGACCCCAGTTATGAGACTGGCGTTTGTCACTGAGTGGAAACCCAAGGTCACGGAGGAAAGTGCTGGGGGGGGGGCAGTTTGCGTTGCCCTCCACCTGGAGTCTGGTTTAGCTCACTGAGAACTTTGTGAGCTGTGTGCAATCTTTCTGCCTCGTGAGAAAACAGAAGACATCACAGAGCCTTGGTCTGATGGCTCCCAGGCCTCTGCTCAGCTCAGCCACGACCACCACACCTGCTGTGTGGTTGCTTGTGAGAGACGTGGCCGATGCCATGGCCCAGACACAGCAGACGTGATGCTTTGTCTCGCCCAATGCCGTGATTGCTAAATGTATAGACTATTTTTTAATGAAACGTATATCCTATTTTCCAATGTAAAATGTGGCAGAGTATTTGGCTGACTTAGAGGTTTGATTGCTTGGTTCTCCTTGTTGAGACGTCACGTGTCGACATCTAAGAACATGGTCTCTACCCGGTGACTGTGGACAGGTGTCAGTGCAGCTCTGTCCCATCAGTGGGATGAACTCCTGCTCTGATCCATTCTGGTTCCTGCTGGATTTTACTGGTAGGAAATTTTGGTGCCCTTAATAACTCCCATTTGCTGAAAGTGTTGATTTTGGGCCAAACATTTTTAGTTAAAGAAGGATTCATAGCAAAGTTGACTGCACTCGGAAAACCTCACTGATATGATCTCTGGAGAGCTGACTTCCCCCAACCACCCCTCCACTTCCTTCACTGTCGTGTTTCATCGCAACTCAGGCCCAGGGTGTAGTTCTCAGAGCTGCAAAGCGTCGTCACTGCCTCGAAGCAGCCTCATGGTCCTGGCGGGTGGAGTCGGCACCTGTCATCGTAAATGCTCAGAATTTAGGACTGGGATCTTGTATTTGTGGCTCAGCCCCTTGTGGCTGCAAGCTGTATCCTTCTCAGCACAGCATCCATTTTACAGTTTCAGGTCCTTCGTGCAAGTGATCAGTCACTGGGCACATATGAGGTCAACTTGGGCATCAGTTTTTGTGCACTGACCATTGCTCCACACTGGCCATTCATCCCAGGGCTGGGACATAGGACTCTCAGAATTGGGTTTGCTTAGGATGCTGTGAATGGACAAACAGAATGAAGTGTGTGCTGTTTTTTTAAATCCTCACCTGAGGGTATGTCCATTGATCTAGAGAGAGAGGGAGAGAGAGAGAAAGAGAAACATTGATGTGAGATGTACCGATTGTACCTGCGACCCGGGTATGTGCCCTGAGCAGGAATAGAACCCTCAACCCTTCAGTTTATGGGACAACACTTCAATCAACTGAGCCACCCGGCCAGGGCAGAGTCTTTCGGCTTAATCATGACAGCACACTCACTGACAGTGGCCTTTCGTTGACCTTATTGCTTCCTGGGGAAACGAGGTGGGTTATCTGAAACCTCGTTTCTGGTCACTGTCGCTGTGTTCGTGTTGTGGACTCCCTGCTGCTCCAGAGGGAGTCAGACACGAAACATGGTGTCTCGTCAGCAACTTCCCAGATACCGAATCTGCTAAATTATACCAATGCTTTCACGTCAGCTGTCATAGCTGCTTCTCGTATGTGTGAAAAATTAATAACATTCATACACAGTTAAAAATTAGCTCCTTTGTATTTCGAATAATTTTAAGATGTTATGAATTACCTGATGCTGAGTAGGAAAATGATCGTACAAAGTAAGCTTGTGACATAAGGATCTTATTTTGGGGCAGTAGAAATACCCCAGCCCTGGCTGAGCAGCTCAGTTGGTTAGACCATCATCCTGATACTCCAAGGCTGAGGGTTCGATCCCCAGTCAAAGCACATACAAGAATCAGCCAATGAATGCATAAATAAGTGGAACAACAAATCGACGTATCTCAAAAATTAATAAATAAAATTTAAAAAAAGAAATAACCCAGAGCAGTGGTGCCTAGACCATGTCTGCCTGGCGAGAGTGTCTGGGGCCATGGGGAGAAGTGGCGTCCCTGAGGGCAGTGTCCACATGAGGCTGACTTCCTCACCTGCCAACAAGGGAGAATTGCGAACTCACAAGGAATTTATTTGTGGGTTCTCACTTTAAAAGATGGCGTGGAGTCCCAGCCGTGTTGTTGCAGCTGGCCTGGCAGTCTTGTTTGCACTGGGTTCCCTCTCGGCTTAATGACCCTGCTCTGCAGCCGTCTTGTGCGATTATTAATGAAGGGAGACACAGCCCTGTGGAGGGAATTGATAGGGTGTTTATATTGCTAATTTTATACAAAATGATACAAAACGTAATGAATAGGCACAAGGCTATTAATCCCCATCGAACATCTCGTGGTGGAGATGCTGAGCGATGAAGGCGCCTGTCCCCATTGCTCAGAATCTGTTCCGCGAGGTGATTCTCTGGAAATCCTGCCTCACTCGCGGACATGGGCACAAGCATGAAGTGCTGGTGGACAGGACAGTAAGTGGTGTGCGCAGAGGTGCTCACCAGATTGTGGGCAGGTACTTTTTAATTTTTATTTTTTATTAATCCTCACCTGTGGATATTTTTTTCATTGTTTTTTAGAGTGGAAGTGGGGGAGGGGGAGAAAGAGACACATCGATTGGTTGCCTCCCACATGTGCCCCAACTGGGGATCAAACCTCCAGCCCAGGTAGGTGCCCTTGACTGGGAATCAAGCCCACGACCCTCAGTGCTCGGGCCAACACTCTAACCCCTGAGTGCACCAGCCAGGGCGGCAGGTGCTTCTAGTCTTTGTAGCGGAGGCCAGTCTCCCTCTTACTCCCACTTAGTCTTTCAGCACTTACCTGCTGGAGGTGTGCAGGTGCCAGCGATGAAAGGTGGGGTGCTGGGGAAGCAAGACAGAGCTTGGCCCTGCGGGGAGGGTGGAGAATGGGGAAATCAGCGTGTGATGCAGGGGAGGGTGGTGTAACGTCACATAGCAAAATAAACTATATGCTGCGTATCAATTATGTTACATATTATGCATAATGTTATATAATGTAAGCATTACTGTTCCATAACCTATAATACATGCAGCATGACCTCACTTGTCATGGTCGTCAGGGTCACCTGTGCAGGAATGCGTGGTGGACGCTCAGGGCGCGGTTAGGATAGCGGGTGGACTGAACGCTAGGAACTGTGTCGTTCCACGCTCGCTGCGTACACAGACAGGGACCGGAGGCAGTGGGTTGGTGAGGGGCCAGCTGGAGGGCACCCTGGTGTTGGTGACAGGTGGGTGAGGGGAGGATGGGTACACTTTCTGGCCTGGTCAGCTGGGTGAGGGTGTTTGCTGAGACAGAATGCATTTGGGTAGATGCACAGAGGGGAAATGGGACCTGCATTTGGGCCTGTGCATCTCAAGGAGATGGGGGTATGAAGGGCTTGACCCCACCTCTAATCCCAGTCAAACTCCCTCTTTGCTTACGCCCAGTGGGCTCCTGTGTAAAAGGTATGGGAATACTGGTCTGCGGGACTGTCTAGTGTCGGGTGAGTGTCCATCCAGGCGGGGGCGGGGGGACTGGTGCACGTGGACACCCAGTGAGCAACGCTGTCCTGGGGGTCTGGTGCCCACATTCTGAGAGCTGCTCCTCCTTGCAGGCCGTGATTGTGCCCCATGGGTCAGCGGCCAGCTTGAGGAATCTGGGCTAGCTCGGTGGTTGGACACCACTGGCCGCCCCATTGGTGACTGAGGTGGTGCTGGGGGGTGAGCTGCACGTGGGAGTTCAGACGGCAGCTGTGCCCAGTGATGGGAGCACCCCTGGGTGCGAGCCAGCGTCAGGCTCTGGCCTCACAGTGACGCTTAGAACTCACCACTGGCTCTCTGCACCCTGAGCTCTCCCACTTAGTAGGCGTGTTGAACCTAAGTCCTTCCCAGACACGGGGGACGTAACTGTTTCCATAGTCATCGTACCTCTATCTGCACAGGAGTGGCACTTCTCCTTTCTCCCACCATCTTAGCGGAAGATCTTTGTGCCCAAGTAGGGCCGCTCCTCCTGAACACAGGCTGTGGGCTACAGCGCGGCTCTTACAGACCCTGCTTCCGGATGGACCTGAGGAAGGGGCCAGGGCCGGCCACCTAGGCAGTGAGCAAGGGGGCTGGTGTGGCCTAAGGCCAGGAAACCAGTGTCTCCCCTCCACCCTGCCAGCCCTACCCATAGCGCTGTCCTCCCCAGCGCGGGGCTGTCTGAGCTGAGAGAGTAGTGTCTGTCAGCAGCCGCCTCTGGGACTCCCACAAGCACCAGTCCCCATGGCAACCGGCAGGCGAAAGCAGCAGAGCCGAGGGTTTCCTGTGGCTGCTGCACCCAGGCTTGGACGTCGGTCTGGGCCTGGGGCGTTGGAGGGTCTGAGTGGCCGGGCTCTCCCACAGCCCAGCCGCCCCTGACCCCTGACCCCTGGCCATCCTCAGGACCTCGTCCTGCAGCCTTGAGGAGCATCTCAGGCGGGCCTTTCTGCTGGAGGTGCACCTGCCAAGCTCAGGACCCTGACCCAAGAACTGTTCTGACGTTATTATTGAGAGGCTTCACAGCACCCAGCCACATGAAAGACAACCCCCTCTGGGCCCACCAGTATCTGCGTGCACTTGTTACTCCTGGACACGTGTGCGTCTGACCTTGCCCTAT